ATACATCAGCTCTATATCTTTGTTTCTAGTCAGACGATCAAAAAAATTCCTCTTGCATTTCTTCTGTATCCAAAGTGTCACTTATACTGTATATTTAATTTTATATACAGCATTATTCTAATTCATATATTAGGAAACAAAATAAGGCCGTTTTTCTTAAATGACATGTTGAATGGTTTTTATTTCAGTTTTAGGCTTTAAATTATTCCAAAGTATAAAGTTTTGCAAAACATGAGTGAGTGGGTTTCTTTTTTAAAAGTACAGAAGTATTTATTCCCAGAACTTTTATACATTTATTTTAGTGTAAAATACACAAAACATGATTAATATTTTCAATGAAAATTAATGACGGAAGTAAAACACACACAATTTCTAGCTTCGGAATAAAATAATCATCAAGTGAACTCTAATGAGCCAGCTATGTATTCACTTATTTTGCATTAAATGAGCGGTTTCAAAGAAAACTACTCTAATGTTGAAGATTTATAATAATCAATATTTAAGAGTCTGAATTTCATATTCATATGCGCTTTCCTGAAATGGTTCACCAATGAGAAAACGTTGAACACTAGTAGTTCAGTAGGACTTCAAACTACGTCGAGCGGGATGGCAGTATAGTCGTTTTCGAGGGTTTTTGCCTTGTGTAACGCAAATAAGACCCATATCTTATTCACTTAAATGCAATTATTAACTTTTCGAAGATGTGTTATTGTTTTGAGTTAGCTGTAAATTCCTTTTCGTAGCAAACAAAAACGAGAAACACGGGAGCATGTTACTGCTTATCGACGATGCAATCTTTCGATACAACAAAAGCGCATTGGCTCCTGTGCGTAAGAAAGTGAATCATTTAAGATGCTATTTTTTCTGCACTTCTCAATGGTTTAAACGATATTTTCTTAGTATCATGAGCGAGGAAACATATCTTGTGCTATTATTTAAAATGCACTACATAAAAATCTATATGTACTGAATATAACATTTCGAACTTAACTTCTTGTATACACTTATCGTCTACATTCAAAATAAAATTTAATGGTATAATAACAAAATCTGGCCTCATCTTAGACTTCAAGACTTATCTGTAAATATTATTACATATTTTAATGCATTTAAAATACAATATACACATTTTTGTATTTCGACATTCTTCTCTTTATGCCATTTTGCACTTAAAAAGAAATGCTGAAAAAAATCCCGAAGTTTTTAAAATTGAAATTCTTTTAAAGTTGATTTTTAATTTTATACGGCAGCTACAAAAAGCGTCCCAAAATTATAGTTACAACTACTAAAAGTATACTACTACTACTATTTAAACTATTAACTATAGCTTAAATAATATGCACTCTAACTATGGCAAGTGCAAGAAAATTTTAAAAACTGCCATATGCAATACTTATAGGCGTAATCAAAGAACTATCTCAAAATGTATAAATCTTTTAACTATCTCAAAATGAAAAAATTACTATCTTCTCAGTTTAAATTGCATCCAGCATTCCTGTTTCACTATACAATAGTGTCTGCACGATATACCGGCGCAGCATTCAAACTAGTTTGCATAATGCATATTAAACTTTTCTTTCTTCTCCTTAAAAGTTCCTTGGTGTTATGTGAGTAGCTTAACCGGCGTAGCGAACTGTTTTCAGAGGTACAGACAAAAAAGGGCCGGCTTAAGTGTATGTCAACAGGGGGTTTTCCGCAGAAAAGTTTTACTACAGTATCAATGTTTATTTTTCTAACAACAGATCGTTTAAAGAAGTAAGAAATCTGATGAATAGCACGTATTAACTGAGTCAACAAGAAATTGAATACTACAGGGGTTTCTAAATAGTCATATTATATCTCGAAAGAAAGGCTGCAGACGAAAAGCCATTGTTACACCTATCAAGAGATACGAAGGGAAAAGATAATTTGGAATCAAATAAATAACGTTTTTGGCACTCTCAGTATGAAGTATGAAGATTTAAGTTAACGATTCTCGTTATACGTAAATAAAATGTCGTTATACGTAAATAAATGTCGCTATACGTAATATAAAAGGTAAAAGCTAACTAAACATTTTTTTTTTCCATGATTATCCTCGATCGACACGAGGCCCACCAGTAACCAAGCGGTAAAGAATTATAAACACTTGTAGAGTCATTAGGATTTTTGGAAGCCGTAGAGATGAAAAATTAGCAATCGCCTTCGCCGGGAATCGAACCACCGACCTCTGGAATACCGAGCCCAGCGAGCTACCGTTACACAACGAAGGTACGCCAGGGAAGTGGGAGAATTCTCACTCACCTTATACACTCATAATTCGGTTCGAGGTTCAAATCTTGCGAACGCGCTGGCTGCATGAGCGTTTTCATGGTTTTCTGAATGTATAACCTGCATACGAGCCAGTTTCCCTTAGAAAGTCCTCCACAGAGGCATCCCTCTCCTTAGACAGCTAGCCCTCGAGGTTTGCCATAATCACATAAACCAAACCTAACCTCTATCGATGCGATTTTATCACATATTAACTTCAAACTCTTCGCCGTTGATATGATTACCCAAACTATTAAATTTTATTCGAAAATAAATGAAATTGTAAAGGAAATTATTAGTTCAAAGGGGCTTTGTCCCTGTAGGACTATTGTTTTCCTTTTGCGATTTTGCGTAGAATCACTATAAATGGACATTTCACTTTTCAAATTTTGGCCACCAAATGTTAGAGTCTTGCATTATATTTGAAGAAATTAAATAATGAAAAATCTGCATTAAATGTAAGTATATTTCTCGCATTTTGATAAAACAACGGTACTTAGAGCCATCGAATTTTGAATGACGTAATCCTCCTACGAATATGGGCATGTGGAAGACAAAATTTGAAATTTGGAATTTGTTTTATTATCGATTTCATATTTTGTAAAACTTTAACGAATTTTTGACTAACAAACTCAAGGATTTCAAAGCGAGTAATGGCAACCCTCTACGAAGAAAAAAAACCTTTTTATCTCCAGCACCCCGCGAAACTGTGTTTCGGAAATTCTAAAGATAAGCTCATTTTAAAATTATTTTGCGACATTGCTTTTGAACTGAATTTTATGGTTTAAGTGCAAAGAAAATGATATTTAATAAATAAAGGCAAACACACAAAACGTTAAAAAAACGCCCCTTTGTACGTAATTTAAAATATGAAAGGCTTCAGATAATTTAATGTTTTCTGTCTTTACTTTGGTTATTAAATATATCGTTCTTGGCGATTAAGCCGCATAAAATTCGATTCAACAGCGAAATGACAGAATTCTTAAAAACAGCATATCTTTAGAATTTCTGATAGAAAGTCTCGCATGCTGGAGATAAAAATGTGTTTTATTTTTTTCTTTTAAAATGCTCTGTAACTATTCCTCTGACGTGTTAACTATAGTTTTACATTTGCAGAACAAAAAAAAGCACTTTTGGAAAATAACGAAAGCATTGCAATTAAGATGCAAAACTAATAAACGGAGTTTTAAAATTGGGATAACCTGGCTGCTTATTATAAACTACACTGTCAATGCGAAAATATTTTTAGTGGCAAGTTGAAAAATAGCGTCACCCTTCAAATGCATCGAAATCTAGAACTATTCAAGTGCTTTCCTGCATATTGTAGCATTTCGATAAAAACTGAGGTTTAAACTAGAATTTTTTAAAAAAGGAACTGTTTGGGATTTCCAGAAAATTTTTGATTTATATCAAAATACGCACCTTAGAACAATGATACAAAAACCTGATACACATTTCAAATCATATTTTTGGGACAAGTGTGCTTTTGATACGTTTTGAGAATGAAGATAAAATACTACCCCATTTGTTTATTTGATCACTCTATGTACTGTACACAAAATGCTATTAAGCCTGCGAATTAGGTAATTTGATAAGAGTTCGATCCCAGGCGAACGGTTAAGCTTCAGGGTTGGTTTTTGTGGTTTCCTTACTGTATAATGTGAATACGAACCACTTCTCTTAGAATATTTTCCACGAAGGCATTTCTTCCCTTTGCCAGATAGTTCTCGTGTGCTTTGCCATTTTCAAGTAACCTAACCTAACCTAATCTAATCAAATTTTCAAGTTCCAACAAAATACTCGACAAATTTGGAGAAGAAAAGAAACGCTATACAACGACTTCCATCATATGCAAGAGTTTGATAGCGCTTCGTTTCTTTATAAATATTTAATTTACGAGCTACAAAAGCCAAATCTACTGAATCAAAGCCTTGTAACAGGAAATCGACTGTGTACTGTTGAGTAAAAATGCTTTCAAGAAATGTTTCAGCAAATCTGTCTCGTATGAAATTCCTCTCTTTAAGAAGCAAAAGAGACAAAAGTTCCCAGTTGCAAACACTAACCACTCTACAGCATATGACTTTGTTTTGTCTTTGATTTATTGATTATGGCAAAGCACTCGAGAGCTATCTGCCTAATGGGAGGAATGTCTTCGTGGAGGATATCCAAAGGAAAACTGGCTCGTATGCTGCCACTCGTCAGCAAATTTAATAATGAAAAGTATAAAATAAATTTTGTTTGAAAATTTTAAAGAATCAGCGTGTTACAAAAGGAATTTTTAAAATGATGAAATTCTACTAACAATTAGATACACAAATCATTTATGCTCTTAATTAAAAATGCTTTCAAAAATACATATTCATAATATATTAAACTCTTAACATAAACTAAGGCTTCTGAGTAACTTTAAATTCCCAAACGTATCTTCAACAAAACCAGGAAAAGTTAGAACATTAATAAGCATACTGAAATGTAGCTCTGCTACTTGAAATATATACAAATTGGACACGTATTACTTTGTTAATATTACTGCTTTAGCGAAACAAACAAACAAACAAACAAAAAAACATAATAATAAAATTTATCTAAATGTTATTCAGGAATGTAAAAATTTGACATTTCTTTTAGCAATAAATATATTTACATGAATTAGAATTTTCATACAAATATAAAAATTGTTATAAATAGATTTTTAGTAATAGTAAGTTTACCTATAAACAGGCCCATATATCTTCGCTAGCTCTTTCAATTTAATATAGGGTTTTCTCGTCATAAACGGAAGATAGCCAAAGAGCGGCAATCCCATAGGCCCAGGTAAAGGTTTCTGTCCCCTTTTCTTCCATAATAAGAAAAGGAACGCAAGTGCTATTACCACAGTCATAAAAATCAGAGTCGTCGTTTCCATGTTTAGAAGAACAAAATTTTAACACTCCTGTCCACCGAAATGCTGCTATTCGAAAAAATAATAATTATGTATGAAGGACGTGAATCAACAATTTTTTATCACAATCGCTTTAACTTTGAACCCGTTGACAAGAAAAGCAGAAAATTAGAGATAAATCCAGCCAATTGGGTGCCCACATGCTGGCAGAGAGTTAGAACATGAGAAGCGAGAAAAAGACTTAGAGTTCATTCTTATTTCAAATATTGTGTTTCTTTTTCGATATCTAAAAATGCTATATTTAAGCATTTTCCTGTTTCTATTCGGAACATGTTAATCTGAATTCTATTTTTGACTATGAAGAAAGATACTATAATTAGCTTCTAGTTTCTGACTTCCTTGAAAAACTGAAAATTCAAAGCTTTTTTTTTTCATTACATCATACTTTCTTTGTCTTCTTCATTAGAGGGTCATTCTGTTTACTAATTATACACATATTAAAAACGACCTACATTATTTATGGTCATTGTGATGAAGCTTCAAAGACGGCAGACAATTATAAAAATTAAAATGGCAGTAATATGAGGTATTAATTTTGGTGTGGTGTGGTGTATTTAATTATGGCAAAGCACTAGGGCTATCTACCTAAGGGAAGGGATGCCTTCGTGGAGAGCTTTCTAAGGGAAACTGGCTCGTATACACGAGGAAAACCACGAAAACACCCATGCAGCCAGCCCCCGTCGCGGTATTCGAACCTTGGACGAACTACCATGTTCAGCTTTACGCTCGGCCGCTGGTGGGCCCGCACTAATTGTATAATATAGTAACTCAGATATAATTTATCGAACCGTTTCAATATTCAAATTAACCTCTACAGAGTTCAACAAAAGAATGAATTTATGCGTAGTGCGAAGGGTCCAAAAAAAAAAAAAAAAAAAAAAAAAAAAAAAGAAAGAGCTAGATGGAGAAGTTTTGAGTTTTTTCATTGGTTTATTTGAATATAGGAAACGTCTATGCTACCAGCCCATTCGCCTGCAATGTAACCTAGGTCACAATTCTAGTGTTCAGTGACTTTACACCTCGGCTGGTTTGGGGGGGGGGAAGGTGAAGGTAAAACTCAAGTATATAGTATGATCATTGTGAGTTGAGCCTCTGCCCTTGCATCTATGCCCTAGCAATATGCATAGAATTTTTGTGTCTTACCTCAAGCAAAAATGCAAAGGAAACTCTAGAAGCTTTGATGAATGCATGATAAAATTTTGCGTGAAATTCTTAAAATCTGGTTCTGGAAGCAGCAGTTATTAAAAACAGTTTAGGGGAAAATTGCTTTGTCTACAGGCAAATTGTTATGTAACATAACGTACTTGCTAGCTGAAGAGCGGGAATATATTAATGATGAATATCGTGAGCAAAGCATATTTAAACTTCGAAGATTTAAAACGCTGGGATTTCTACAGGGGTAGAGTACAAGAATATAGTTATAGTATGTATTTCCTTCTTGGAATCTAAAGTTTTTGGAAATGTGCCTTTGTGGCTGAAGTTGAGACCGCAGATGCTTAGCATAGAATTGGCCTTATAATGCTTAGGTATATCATTCTTTTTTGTTGAGAAACTGTCCAGAGTAATTTCCAAGGAGTACAAAACGTTATTTGGGGATACCCAGGACTTTCCCTAATAGGTGCTTATTACGATAAGTCCATGTGAGCTTTTTGTTAATGATAACCCCTAGACAACTTACATTATTTACACGTTCTCAATTTCTCCGTGCGTACGGGTTCGTCACGAAATGAATGCACAAGTCCGATGAA